GGAAGTTCTTCATTCATCCACCATATTCAACAGACATTGCACCTTCGGATTTCCATTTATTTTGGTCTCTACAAAATTCTCTTAATGAAAAAATTTCAACTGCCTGGAAGATTGTAAAAGGCATTTGGAAAAGTTCTTTTCTCAGAAAGATAAAAAGTTTGGGGAAGATTGAATTATGAAGTTACCTGAAAAGTGGCAGAAAGTAGTGGAACAAAACGGTGAATATATTGTTCAATAAAGTTCTTGGTGAAAATGAAAAATGTGGTTTTCTTTTTACTTAAAAACCGAAGACAGTTTTTGGCCAACCAAATATATATATATATATGTAAATTTCTCCTATGTAACAGGAGGAGAAAATGCCAATTAATTAAAGTATTTTTAAGTTTCTCTCTTCTCAAAAGATATATAAAATATATGGAGGCATGACAGGCACACTCAAAACTGCAGAAGATAAGACAATGCAGGCAAAATTGTGTGTTGCCACTTGTAAATATTTTCAGAGGGATAAGAAAAGGGAAACTGGCAAAGGCTAGGATAGAGAAAAGAGAAACCTTAATTGGAAACTGCTAAAGAGGTTAGAATAAGAAATTCCAGGATTAAGGAATTAATTTATGCCATTATAAACTCAACTAGGAAGAGGGACCATCAGTCCCTCTTCCCAAAAGTTTCCTGAAACTATTTTTCTATGTGGTATCCTGCTCATCCTTAGTATTGTGGTAAACACTTTCCAGAGCCAGTTGAGTAGATAGGGTCCAGGCTGACACCAAATCAGCATAAACTCTCTGGTCTCAATAATATTTCTTTAACTCCTGGATTTAGACATTCTAGCCTGTTCAGTCAAGTCAAAAGGACATATTAAGCCTCAACTGTGTGTACAGTATATCAGTAACCATTTTCTATGCCAAGTGAGAAATGAGAGTTAATGTGTATGAATTAGAAAAATTGACAAATATTTTCCCTCAGTAAACATCTTTTGAGCATCTATTATATACTGAGAAGGGGGATTTGTAAGCTCCTTGAAGCAAGGTGCCATACCTATCTTGATCATTGCTGTATCCCCAGCACTTAGCCGGTTGACTGACACATGACAGACATTTAGTGAACATAGTTTGAAAGGCAGACTTGGGAGACAGATGCACATAAATGCACATAAAAAGATAATGCAATATTATAAATGCTATAGAAATATGGACTAGTTACTGTGGGCTCCAAGAAGAGATTAACTCCAGCTGGAGAGACTGGGAGAATCTCATGGAAGAAGGGATATCTTTGAGGTGAGATTTAAATGACAGGGAGAAATTTGAAGATCCACTCAGCTCCTGCTAATTGCTGCTATGTGCAGCCAGGGAGTCCAGGTGGCCAGACTGACCAAGTTTCCAAGGGAAGCCAGAAATCTGTACTCTTCTGTAAAATCTCACTCTTTCACTGTTGGCAGGTAATTAATATTAAGAAATTTAGGTTGGCCTCATGTTTGTGACTTGCACTTTTATTGCCACACATTGGATAAACTGACTTCTTCCCACTTCAGCACCAACAGATATTTATTGAAATGATATAAAAATTCCCTGAGTATTATTTTATATGTTATTTATTAATATATGAATCACATGTTAAGAGCACAAAGATTAAATTTGTAATCGTCTATTTTGGACAACGCTGTGAGATGAAATTATTAGTTAATATTGTTTTTACCTGTTAAGTAAGGTTAACCGTAATATTTTAAGCATGAGTCTGCTTTGTAAGAACCTTGTCTTAAAACTTTAAAGAATGTAGATTTGTTTGTTTTAGAGAGTTCTTAATAAACCATTGTACAACAGGAGGATAAGTGAAGATTCTAAATTATAGGCAAGGAGGGCTTTCCTAAATGTGATAAATAACGAACAGTCTTTTAACCTTGTATTTTGTGCACAAAGGCACCTTTAAGGGTGTCTCCAGTAAGTGCTATATTAACACAGAAGTTTAGTTAATTACAGCCGCTATTCTCACGTACCTTAACTGAGTGTGAATACCAAGCAATCTAATATTGTGCCCCTAAGCATTAATACCTAATGAAATTGGATTCCTTGTTTCCTTTAATGAGCTCATTGCTTTTCTAAATATGGTCATTGCAGGTAAATGATCAATAGCCTTGAAAATGACACCATTACTGGATTATTTTGGCAAGAAAAAAATACTCTTTTTAGTTTAAATATCCTCACATGTATAGCTCAGCTCATTTCCTAAATAACCTCACATATAATGAGAATGACTATAGTAGGTTTTATTTGTTTGTTTCAGTGGCTGAGTTAGACAGCAGGAAATTGGGGACAGTCACTCTCTGATTATAGAATAGGACTTCAGGTCCATATAACCTAGCTCAAATTGGAATGAACTGGATCCAGTGTGTTCCTGTTAATTGACAGACTGAAGGGTAATAGGCTATGAGAAGGCATGTCTTCTGTTGTGGTATAATAGTTCAGTACAAATTGTCTCTACTATCCATTTCTTAGGGCTGCCATAACACATTGCCACAATTTGGTGGCTTAACACAAGTGACATTTTTCCCTTACAGTTCTGAAGGCCAGGATTTTGAAATCAAAGTTTTGGCAGGGCTACACTGCCTCTGAAGGCTCTAGAGGAGAATGCATTCCTCGCCTCTTCCAGCTTCTGGTGACATAGGCATTCCTTGATGTGGGCCCACGTCACTCCAGTGTCTGTGTCTGTGGGCACATTGCCTCCTTCTCTTCTGTCTGTCTCTCCTCTCTGTGTCTCTTCTTATAAGGACACTTGTCATTAGATTTAGGGCCCACCCTGGTAATCCAAGAGGATCTACTTTTCTCAAAACCCTTAATTTAACTACATATGCAAAGTCCCTTTTTCCAAATAAGGTCGCATTCACAGGTTCTGGGGATTAGAACATGGATACATCTTTTGGGGGGCTGCCATTCTACCCATTACATCTACCTTTCTCCACTTTCATATGGTTAGTTAGTAATGCTGAACTTAGTCACTACTCAGGTTACTATACTGTTTAAGTATTTTACTAGTATTATCATTTATTGAGCAAATCATCTATGTTGTGTGTGTTTGTAATTTTTAATTCTTATAGTCACCCTAGCATTAGCTCCTTTATAAAGATAAGGAGATTGAGGCTCAAGAAAAGTAAGGCCTTGCCAGGGATGCAACACAGCTAATAAGAGTGTCAATTTAAAGTCTGTGTTTCTTCAGTTATAGCTTAAATTTCATGTGCATGTAAGTTTACATAGTCACATCCTTCTTTAGAAATTGATATATTAGGTTTCGCAAGATGGATTTTCTTTATCAATATTTTGGTCTCTATGGTGCCTCAGGTCAGATAATATTCCAACATTCTAAAACATCACTACTAGATTTAATCTTAGGAAGAGCAAGCCAAAGTGAGGTTTCATAGAATGATGGCCATAGGATGAGATTAAAGTTAGGGCTTACTACTTCATCCAAAACTATCTTCCAGTTTCCAATTCTGGAGTACTTTCACCTGAAGTAAAATTGGAATTAAAAAAAATAGGTTTTAAGTATACTGCAGTGCTTTAGAGCGTACACACAGACTGCTGTGTTTGAATCCTATCTCCTCCATTTAGCTACACTTTCTGGGGTTATCACTTAACTTTCCTGTGCCTCCTTTTCCTTATTTGTAAAATGGACAGTAATAATGATAGAGCACAGGGTCCTCTAATTAATAAGTGAGGTGATAATACACTTAAACAGTAACTGCTTCAGAGTATAGATTCAATATAGAGTTATTAATTATTACCAATTATAAGCATTTTACATACAAAGTGAAAATAGAAGTACAGCATTCAAAATTGTGATGGAGTAGCCAGCAGTAGAGTTTTATTTGGTGCAAAACACAACTTCAACGCAGAACATGGGTCAAAGAGTTTCATAGCGCAAATATTCTCTGATATAATTTTCTTTTGCAAATCAAATGTTTCATGTTCCTTCCTTTCTTCTCCGCACCCGTTATAATCTCCCTGCCTTTGCATTTCTCTTCCCACTCTGCTCTGTTATTTCTTCTTTCTTTAAGGAAAACTTTAAGCTTTCTTTTTCCAAGATAATTTGTGGTTAAATCTTACTAAACTATTCCCAGATTGCCAAGGTAATGGGAATCTGTAATCAAATCAGAATAAACAATCATATTAGTTCTGTTCCATATGTATGAGCTCTGTCAAGAATACTTGAACACATTTTCTGTTGGCATGTTTACAATTCTAGGAAATCTATTTTGACTTGCAGCTTATAGGTAAAATATGAGAAGGCTCAGGACACTTGGACCTTTTAGCTCTAAGTGGATACTTAGAATCATCTGTACAGCATTTCTAAGTAAAAGTGATTTATGACTGCAAGGTTGTATGAAATTAATGTTCAGTTTGTTTACATCCATCTCATAGCTTAACCATTGGTAGTCCGTCAGTGGAGCGAGGAAGAAGTAGTATGGTCTTTATGTATAACTTTCTTTGACCATTATTTTAAATTTATGAACTTCATATATAATAACATGTTTCTTCATGGGACTCATTGTTCATGATGAAGAAAAATTAATGTACATTCCTAATAGACTCAAGATGTCAGCAGTTATCACCTATTGTTATATTGATTTTTTTTTTTTTGGATAAGTAAATGTCAGCATATGGTAGTGAAATGAATTGTTGCCCTATTAAACTGACTCGATGATAGAACCAGCCATAGGCATTTGCATATGTTTAATTCTGATTTTATCCATTTTAGGCATGACTTCTTACCGCCCCCACCCCCAAATCAGGAAGTGATTTTACTTCCTGGTGGGGAAAGCCTTGAATTGTTAGTGCTTAAGGGAAAATACTGTAAAATACATTGTGTTTGTTGTAAATGAAATTCTGATCACACTTGTAACCACCGTACTTTGCTATCAAACTCACAACAGCCAAGTTCTTCCTTTGATCAAGGTGAATTGAAGTGTGTCTGCCTGAGTTGTTTCACATGGTGTCTTCTCCAACATCTAGGTGAGCACAAAATGCCGAGGCCTCTGGTGGGAGTGTGTCACAAATGCTTTTGATGGGATTCGCACCTGTGATGAGTACGATTCTATACTTGCTGAACACCCCTGTACGTATGCCTTAGACATCACCCTTGTCAGGGAGGGAAGACCAAAGGAAATTGAACTCAGGTTTCCATTATGTGTTTTTGTTTTTTACGATTCAATTTTAAGGTTCTGTCCAGTTTTAAATGTTTCAATTAGAAATTTAGTTTATTTCTAAAATATGAATTGAAACATTTTTAGCATATTTTATCTTTTCCCATGTATTTATAAATTCCTTTAGGGTAAAAATATTATCTTGTTCAGTTCTGCTATCCCACAAAGGGTCTGGTATAGTGTCTTATACACAGCAGGCTTATAGTAAACACTTTTTAAATTGAAATGAAATCTTCAGGGTGCAGTAATTTTATGATTAGAATTGACGAGTTAGATGAAAAGCATTTCAGAGATGTCTTTTAGCTATGACTTAGGTCAGATAGAAACTTTACAGTATTTCAATGGATGACTTGCTAAGAAAGAGAGATAGTGGATATAGAGGGGCAGAGACAGAGACAGAAAAACAGATAGGGAGACAGATAGGCAAAGAGAGACACAGACTGTGGGATCAGGGAATGAAAACATTAAAATATGTGACACATTCTTAGCAGAAATAAAAAGCCATCTCCTAGATCTTCCTTACCTTTAGCTTTAAATTATAATTAGGTGTTAACAAGGCCCATGTTTCTATGAATAAAAGATTTCATAGATCGAAAAACCTTATTACTGATTCTCTCAACTCTTCTCCATACCATTTATTTATTTATTTGTGTTTGTTTGTTTATTTACTTATTAGAACATCCAATCGTGCCAAGAAATACTGGTGCTGTTATTAAAGCAAATTGGTTTTAGTCTCTTTCAAATCAAATGATGGGTGGTGGTACAATATCACAACTTCTTTTCTTAAGATAAATGAAAAGTAAACCCTTAGAATGTGACTTTTCCCCTGAACAGCTATTTCGGTGCAGGGAAAAACACTTAAAAGGAGCTGTGCTCTACAAATATCTTTCTCTGCCATTTAGGATTTGAGTGCCTGAAGCATTTTTTAATTCATAAAGCTTTTATTTCATTTTTTAGAAAAAGGCCTTTTATGTTTTCCTCTTTTTTTCCCTTCTTGCACTAACCTAGTTCTATCTACAAAGAAGCACGATTTGGTCAATAGGAATGGGCATTCATGTTCACGTGGACCCTAGGCTATTCCAGAAATGCAGTGCTATGGCTAGAGTTGAGAAGAAAATAGAAAGATGAAATATTTCAAACTTTTAAATATCTGTTATATACATTATGTAAGAAGAAAATAAAATTATTCACAAGCCTACTACACAGAGAAAACCACTGTTTATATTTTTAAATGGTCCTTTATCTTTTGCCTATACTATCTCACATTTGTCTTTTGATATATTTTTACCTATTACTTTCAAATAATATGCTAAAAATCCATTAATTTTCTTTAAAAAATTCTATCATATGCTTAAAGACTAGAGAGATGAAAATGTGTTCTAAGAAAATAATATAACTGTACCCTCTAAGTTAGGATGTTACCTGTAAGAGAGTAGATTTTATTTTTGGTCTTTGTTGTCTTTTATACAATCACAATTAGATCACCTTTCTCATTACCTTGTATACTTATTTAGACCCAGATGCATTTTTATTTATTTATTTTTTTGTGGTACTCGGGCCTCTCACTGTTGTGGCCTCTCCCGTTGCGGAGCACAGGCTCCGGACGCGCAGGCTCAGCGGCCATGGCTCACGGGCCCAGCTGCTCCGCGGCATGCGGGATCTTCCCGGACCGGGACATGAACCCGTGTCCCCTGCATTGGCAGGCGGACTCTCAACCACTGTGCCACCAGGGAAGCCCCGAGATGCATTTTTTTAGGGCTCCTGTTGATACTGTTAATTTGAGCCCTTCTCCACCCCCCAAATCAGAATATTTAACATTATTCTGGCAGCCAAATCTCAGATAATCTCCAAAAGGAAATTCTTGGCTGGCCAGCATTAGCAATCTCTTGCAGAGCTGCCCTCTTGGAACTGGGCTAGCCATGTGGCCCCTGGATGACGCCATAGGCATGAGTCCTGTAGTTCCACAGAGCATCTGAGACACACTTTGTATGGGAGCAAGGGTCAGAGAGGGGAAAACCAGGGCCAAAAATGATTTCAGGGCACCCCATCCAGATAGCAACCCTGGCCCTGTTGATCCCAGATTCCAGAAGAGGACTTAGAAAATTTCAAGGGAGGCACTCCAAAATGTGGGACCACTTAGTTTGGGGTGCTGAATAGGAAGCCCACTTATATATAACATTTGAGGATCAAGGAGGTCTGCTAAAATATAAAAACTCATATCACCTAATGAGTTACATAGTTTTCTCTTTCCTTAATTTTGAAGAAAACAAAATGAACTTTAGATTTGGCCTAAATTTTAAAAAATAATGTCACATTTTGAGATCTTAAATATTCACCTATTAATAAGGTAGAAACTGATTTTATGCATTGATTTCCTCTCTTTGATGGATTATAAAAAGATTTTATATTTGAAATGAGGAAAATTGGCCACATTTTCACAAGCCATCTATAATTAAATAACCCCTAAAGTTGTCTCATCATTGAGGAAAAATTATTTCAATACAAGGAAACTCCAGGTCACTATGAAAATAAAACATAATTATGATACCATCAAAGGAATAAATTTTATTACTCCTCTCCAGTAGCCAGCTAAAGTAACAATAGTTCTGACTTCAGATAATTAACCCTCCATTTGTGACAACATTATTCTAGTTTTAATTTAGTGTCACTGGGACTCACAGGTGAGGAGGCTTTCACAGTTGATGATGCTCCCATTGCAGATGACTGCTACTATTCTACTTCTATTTACCTGATCTTCTCTTTCCTGGACTTTCTACCACATATTCTCATTGGCCATAGCTTTAAAATATGCTTCGTTGACAATGCAAGGTTGAAGGGTTAATGCAGAGTGTTGGCCAAGAAGGGTCACCACCTGAAGGAACAAAAGAAAATAAATAGTCTTCTGTTTAATAATGGAAGCTCCTTCTTCTAAAGATCTGCTGATGGCTCCTACCTGAACTGGCAAGAGATGTCTTGAAGTATATTATTCTGCTCCCCTATTTTAACCAATCTGTTACATTTTTTCAATAAAACTTCAAACAAATGTAGTGATTATTTATTTATTGAATACTTATTGGTTGTCTTCAGAAGAAGAGATACTCTACTTTCAATTCAGCATTAAGCTAATACTTGTGAATGAGACTCATTCCAAAACAGGAGGCAAAAAGGAAATAGTTATTTAGTCCCCACCATATGCCAGGCATTTTGCTAGATGGCCAACAAGACTATAATAAGCAGTCCTTAACCAAATAATACTGTTGATAGTCTCGTACTATTTTTGCATTTTATGAAAAATTAAGGGTATTTATTTTCAAGTTCATGCATATTTGAAGTCTGATTTTATTCGGTGGGCATGTGTTAATGTACGTGGCTGTCTGTTTTTTGGTGTACCTCTGTGTATTCACATGTCTCCTTCCTCTGACTATGCTGAAACCACATGCTCTGATCTTCTAGTGAAGCTGGTGGTAACTCGGGCGCTGATCATTACTGCAGATATTTTAGCTGGATTTGGATTTATTATCCTGCTCCTTGGTCTTGACTGTGTGAAGTTCCTCCCTGATGAGCCATACATCAAAGTCCGCATCTGCTTTGTTGCTGGAGCCACATTACTTATAGCAGGTATTGGTCTGGACTAGTGATGGGGATAAAGATACCCAACTAAGGTCTTGGGATGAAGAAGGGTGCTGTTCTGAAGTAGTTCATTTTAGGATAATATTTGACTTGCTTTTCTAGATTGAAGGAATAAGGAGCACATCCACCAACACTGCTTTCCTTAGTTTTGGAATCAGATAATTAATCTTTTGTTAATATCCCTGGTCAGGGTTTATTGAAGTCCTCAAACTATTTTTTAACTATTTAAAAAGTTATATAAAGCTTTAAATTAAAAAAAAATTGTGATTATTCCTGAAGTTAAATCCTAAAATAAGCCTCCAGCCGCCACCTTCTTGCCTGTACACGCCCTTACCAGTTCTTCTTGGCAATGAACTAAATTGTACCAAGTCCTGTGTTAGACTTTTCTCATGTGCCAACTCATATGATCATAACTGTAACAATAAACAGATTATGCTATTATCTCTACTTAAGAAGCTGGTGAATAAATGGAGTTCTGAAGACATAAATCAAGCATGAGTAATAAACAATAAATCAAAATCACTTTATATGGTGTTTATTAGTGAAACAGCAAAATTGATATTTTACTGAGGTCTGTCATCAAATTCAATTTAGTCTTCCTTTATCATCATGTCTTTTTTGGATTGTAACATAAGTTGGGAGGAAGTACACTGTGAAAGAAATCAAAGTGTAGGAAGATTGAAAACCAATGAGTCCACCCTCCAGAGAGAAAACCATCTTCTTTTATGGTAGCAGCAAAAAGTTAGCAAATGCTTGCAGGTATATATATATATATACATATATAAAATGTGTGACTTAGGCCAGTTAATCTGTCTCCTTTTCTTGGTCTACAAATTAGCGTGAAGCCTCAGCAATAATATCTACTCCTAATTGTTGTAAAGATCCCAATGTGGGCAGAGTAAGCCCATAGCTGAAAGTCTCACCCATCACATAGTCAAGAGTGGGGCCTCCCTGATATTTTCACACAAGGCCCTAAGGATCCTTAGGTTGTACTAAAAAATCACAAGAATTTAGCACTTTGTTTTCCTTTTAAAGATATTCATTCCCATATCCAGCCTAGTGATAACATAAAGCTTTTGTATGTAACAACGTATTCATGTAACAAATTTAAACATCATTTAATGCTTTGCAATTTTATTCTAGAATGCTTTTTGAGATATCACTAATCTACTCCATTTTTTATAAAATAGCAAAATGAACTAAATTTAAAGAAAAATAAGTCACTGAAGAAAATCCCTGCAGGAACGGCTAAAGAGATACTAAATTAAATCGCCAGAGATGGCCAAAGCCTTGGAATCCTCATTTGAAATTAGTATGCCATGTATATATTTATATATATATACACACACACACATATATACATGCACACACATAGATATATACACATAACTAAAAGTGGGGTCTTTTTGCTCGCCGCTCAAAAGCCAATAAAGAGGTAAAGATGGTGGAAAGGAAAGTTTGCTTTATTTTGGATGCAGGCAACCAGTGGGGAGGGCAGACACCTGTCCAAAGGCTGACCTCCGCCCCCCACGCCCCGACAATCAGGGAGCAAGAGCTTTCATAGGTGGAGGGAAGGGGCTACATGTAGAAACAATACAGTCAGCTCTGACAGCCATCTTGAAATCGGTCATTGGTGGTCTGACCAGCATCATCTTGATTGTTTTAAGTACAGTTAATCTTCAGTTCCATGGTCAGTTTGTTCCCATTTCTTTGAGGCCAGTTCTCAGAATTGTGGCAGCTTATGTCATGGCTACAGTCTGCTCATCATATAGTTAACTTCTTCCACCTGGTAGGGGTTTCAGTATCTATAAAACAGCCCACAGGATATGGCTCAGAGTACTATCCATAGCCCTTGAGAAGGAACTAAAGGTCCTTGACTTTGCTTACTGACTAAACTATCATTGTTTTGTCCTGTCTGACTGCTTTTTGTTCTTCTGCATTTTCTCACATCTCTGATTAAACTTATTCTTTGGCTAAAGTTTTTCCACAGACAAAAGGCAGGCGGAGGACGTGGGGGAGAAAGGACCATAAGGTCCTGCTCCGTTTCACACACACACATATATATGTGTGTATATATATATGTGTGTGTGTGTGTATATATATATATATATATATGCATATGTATATATATGCACACATATATATGTATATGTATATATACCAAAATCTCTAAGTTTCGAAAAAAAGTTTTCATCCTAAACCTATGGGTTACAGTATTACGGGAAAGGTGTGGTAATTTACACCCTGTATTTTAATGGTTACTATGTGTTCATGATCTGGTCCTTCTTAAACTTCTTGCATTAAACAATTGGGAAAAGAATGCAATTAAATTGTGACTTCAATATATATCACAGACAGACTTACTAGAGAAAAAATGTGAGAGTTTCTTGGGGGTTACAGATTTCAGAAGCACCATTTTCATATAGCCTTTTGTCTGACAACTCGCCACTCTTTTTTCTTACCTCTGAGCCCTGGCATGCAATTTATACCTTAAAAGCAAGAGGACTCTAGTGGCATTGTTTCAAGACAATCAATTTTCAGAAAGACTAATCTGTGAGAATTAAATTTTATTTAAGATGGACAATATTTCTTAGTCTATCCTAATATGGTGTGAGAGTGTTAGATAAATTTTCAATTTCTACTTTAGTTATTTGTTTTTAACCTCAAAGTACTAAAATGAAGGACTTTAAAAACATAGTTTCCATATGGGTGCTGATTATGTAGCTGACATAGCTTCAGTCATAGGGCTGGGGAGCCATAGAATACTCTTAAATACAATACAGTAGAATACTCTTAAATCTCCTTGGATTTAAATTTTTAAAAGGCCTGCATTATTTTTAGCAATTTTCATCTCCTTCAGGTGCCCCGGGAATCATTGGCTCTGTGTGGTATGCTGTTGATGTTTATGTGGAACGTTCTTCTCTGGTTTTGCACAATATATTTCTTGGCATCCAATATAAATTTGGTTGGTCCTGTTGGCTTGGAATGGCTGGGTCTCTGGGTTGCTTCTTGGCTGGTGCTGTCCTCACATGCTGCTTATACCTCTTCAAAGGTAAGAAAAAAATAAAATAGCACACTTCCTTGCCTCCAGTATCATTCCTCCCAACCCAATGGAAACACAACTCACCAGCTCAAACTAATGTTGATAACTTGATCCCTACCTATTACCATTAGAAATTTCAGTTGTTCAAGGACAACTGATTTGCAATACTAGAACCTTACTATCCTGTTAGTGGTATAGTTGTTGAAAAGAAAAAAAAAGAATACTACAGCTACAACTGTATCTAACATTCAAATATATAATGGTTATTTTGATGTGTCATAATCTTATATATCTCACTTCACCCAATCAACTAAATTTATATCTACAATTTATATCTACAGAGAAGTAAACAGAGAGCCAAGTCAAATGCATACTTGTTGTTAAAAAGTGTGTTGTGTTACTATTGTGTTTCTCAAAATGTCACTGAAAAAAAATAAGGAAATCCCTCTTCTCATAAGAAAGAAAAGAAAAGGAAATTACTTGATTGAATTTTAAATCTAAAAATAACTTTCAAGTTGAAAATCTTAGAGTTTCTTCTAGGTTCTTAGATGATTCCTTCTTATAATATTTATATTATTGCCTCTTTTGGGTAAGAGTATATAAAATTACATTTTCCCCCAAACTTTACTGAGCCATAATTATTTTTATATCGCCATGTTTATCTCTTCCAAACAGATGTTGGACCTGAGAGGAACTATCCTTATTCCAGGAGGAAAGGCTATTCAACTACAGCTGTTTCCATGGCCCAGTCATATGCAGCCCCTCGGACACAGACTGCCAAAATGTATGCTGTAGACACTAGGGTGTGAAGTGACACATATCAGTCAGTGTGTATATGTTGTTTAACTAACCAATCAATATGTTCAAGTTAATAAAATAGCCGGCCAATCCAGGAACAGTTATCTAGACTTCCTGTTCAACTAAATTAATTGCTTAGCTTAATCAAAAAGTTTGATTCTCCTCTCACTTCTCCTTCTCAATTATTCTTATATTCTTCCACATTCTTTTACCATCTCTCTCTCACACCTATACACACGTACACTTTCCCTGTATTTTAAGATAAGGTTGCTGTGATATAAAACTGTTCGTTGTGATATGGCTGCTGAGATTCTAATCTTTGAAAGGATTGACAAACTCTTAGCTCTTTCCCTGGTTTTTGGCACATTTTTGTATTCTCAATTGAGTGAGTTATTTGATAACTTTGAAGAAGATGATTCTTCCGAATTCTAACGAGTATATCAAGACTTACCATTGCTCTGATTCTGTTAAAATAGACAAAGAAAATAACAGCTTCATGTACCAGCCACTGGTGGGAGTTAAAGATAAAAAGGTCCCCCTCCAAACTCTAAATGTCAAAAGCAAATGCTAAATTAATACCAGGGTCAGTGCTGACCTTCTTCCTCATTAACCACATTAAAGATCTGTGTATTTTTTTAATCACTACTCCAAGTTTGCCTATAGATTGTCAAATATTAAACTACAGCAGTTAATAGCTAAACCGGGGAGTTCACTTAGCATTGATTGGGCATCCAAATGTATCTCAAGAATGTACCATATTAGAATTCACCAATTCAGGTGTCCTCTCACCACTGGATCCTCAGCACCCAGCAAAATAGCTGACATATGATAAAATGTAAAAAATATTTGTTGCTTGAAAGCAATAAAGGCTCAACAATTCTCTTTGAAAAAAAACAATTTTCCTCACAAAATATGTGCTTTTTGAAAAAATAGAATTATATACACACTTAAAGAAATCAATGAATAACTGCTAAAGGGATTTTGTTCATATCCATAATATAAACATATTTCAATTTTTTTAATTGTAGAGTTCTTTTTAAAGTTATAAAATTTAACCTCAGGTTTTCTGGTTCCTTGAAACTCACATGAATAGCATTAATAGCCATACAGTACCTTAACAGACTATCAACTGAACTACAAATTAGTTCTTTGGAAAATGGAAATTTAGTTGTGAACGTCTGAAGCTCCCAAAAGAAGTGTTTCCAATTTAAAAAGCTAAAAATAATGTGAAAGCGAGATGATGGAAACTGGTACATACATTGTTGAGAATGATGTCCATGACTTCATACGACATCTCTTTACTAGTATCTCAGGAGAATTTATAATATAATCTTAGAATTAAGAGCAACTGATTCACTTTTATTTCATGGATGTTATTAACTGTAACTGACATTTAACAAAAGTAATTGTAGATTATGTTTACTAGTTATATGGGTATTATTCTAAGCATTTTAAAGCTTATTTTGTGTTGTTCTTTTTTCTCAACATTAACTTTAAAATTTTTTATTCCCATATTTATTTTATGATATATTGTCTGTCATGTTTTATATATTCTAATAAGTCTCTTGAAATACTTCTGGGGAAAGGCAGGGTAAAATTAATTAAATAATTAATGAGATTTTAGAGATACAAATTTTTCCCTCCTTAAAGGTTTCATTTCATTTAATGATGGTGATAATCGAAATCTATTAATGTTTTGAATATTTTTCTCAATAAAAACATTTTGCATATCCTGGGAAGAATATTAGTATTTTTAAAAAAAATCCCCTTGGGAATGTTCATTCCTAATCCACTGTAATCTAATGAAGCTTTCCAAAATAAAGCATAACAAAGAATATATTTTGTATAGCAACTACAAAATATATTTGTTGTACAGTGAACAGCAAAATAAATATCAAATTGTGAAGAAGCAATAACTGACATAGAGGCAGCTCAACATGCTCAGAAAGAAAAAAATAACATAAGCCCAAAGTATACTCATATCTGGTTATTAGGTTGAATCGTTAAAATAACCCACAAAATTCTGAGTACTATAATTTAGTCATGTCCTGTTAATTGCAATAGGAAAAAATAAAAATGTATAAAACGGAACAATCTTATTTACCTATCCCTTGATTAATCATGACTTTCTAATATCAAATCTTTAACTGAAATTAGCCTTTTGTTATTATAAAAGTTATATATGTGCATTGTAGAAAGCTGGAAAGCAAAAACAACCAAAAATGTATCTTGTTTAAATACCATGGGACCATGTTCTCTCCACCTATACCACTACTTCTAAAACCCTATTGAACATCTGCACATTCTTCCAGATATTCTGTTTATACACATACACGCAAAGACTATATATTCTTCTTTAAGAGACCATTCCATATCTGTGGCTTTGTAACCCAATTTCCCTCCATTAATTATCATTGTCTTTTCATAGCAATAAATTTTCATCTTATTGATAACCAATCCATGTTTAAATTTACCCGTTTCTCAAAATGCACCATACTACTGGTTTGTTTAAACCAGTGTTTTCATTTCCTCTGATTATTATGCTCCTTAAGTCTCTTTTAATCAAGCTACATTTTTTTCACCATCCCTGATTTATTAAAAAAAAAAGACAAAACAAAACTGAACCAGTTTTCCTACAGCTTATTCCACCTTCTGGATTTGTCTGGTGATGTCACTTAGCTTGTTTCTCTATACCTTGTATTTTCAGTAAATTGAAATTTAAATCAAAAGTCTATGATGGAATCAAGTTAAGTAGTATCTAAAATAAACCGTAGGTGATGTGAAGCATATCTGGAGACCTAATATCTTGTTGATTTAGCCTTAATTATGATAAAGTTGTTCGCTGGATTAGGGTGATGCTAATCTGATCTCTCCATTCTTCAGTTGTACATACTTTTCCTTTAGTGACAAAAACAAGTGATTATTGTGGTGTTATTTTGGAAACCATAGGAATATCCTATTCTCCATCAACCATAATAATAATTTTAAAATAATACTTTTAACAATTGATAATCTTTATTGGAGTCAGTACATTTGTTATAATTTGTAGAAAGATGGTTTTCTAATTCTATTTTATCTTCATCTGTAGTAAAAACTCTTCTGTAAAATAAGCCTTGGTCTCTTCATTTGAGTCTATTTAGTTACCCTGAAAAGGCAGGATAAATGCTTAAAGTTCTTCCCTTTCATTTATCAATCCACAATACAAAATAAGGAGCTGACTTATTAGTGAGATAATATGTAATTTATCAGCCAAACAGGGACAATTTGAGAGTAAAAGTGTGGCCCATTAATAATTAAATCCTGGGAAAGGAAGGAGGTACTGTCTTTCTTTTAGCTCAAAGAGTGATGCATATTATTTTTCAATATTTCTTTATATTTGAGTGTCATTATGAACCTACAGATTACCATTGATTCAATGTGCTTTAATCCATAATAACTATTATTATTATGATACTTAAATTGTTCATCTTTGGTCTGCCTGGGCTTTTTGAAACCGGCTCCTGTGTTTTCTTGATACAGTACTTTAAAGAATTTTTCTTCCGTAATCGTAATGTTGAGGTACATCCAGAAAAGTACATGTTTACAGCTAGATGAATTTTCACAGAGTGAATATACATGCATAATCTGTATTCATGTCAGTAAATAGACATTTTTCTTCCTTTCCCAGAAGCTCCCTCTGCCCCACCTTCTTGTCCTTACCCTCACCGTTCTGTGGGTAACCACTATCCTGACTTCCAAAACCATAGATGAGTTTTGTCTGTTTTCGAACTACTGCATGTTTAATTCTTTGAATCTAACTTCTTACCCAACATTATGTCCTAAGATTCAAAATTCATCTATATGGTTTCATGTAGTTTAGTTCACTTATTTTCATTGCAGTACAGTATTCTATTGCAGAATATACCACAACAAAATGTTTAATCCATTTTACTGGTAATGGACATTTGGTACGTTTCCAGTTTTTAGCTATTACAAAGAGTGCTGCTATGAACTTCCTTTGTTTCTGTTTTTTATTGACGTGTAGTTGATTTACAATATCGTGTTAGTTTAAGGTATACAGCATAGTGATTCAGTATTTTTGAAGATTATATTCCATTATAGGTTATTACAAGATATTGGATATAATTTCCTGTGCTATACAGTAAATCATTATGCTTAAACATTCTTGTATATGATTTGGGGAGAGCTATACTTTCCCTTCTCTGATACCTCGGAGTGGAATTGCTCCATCACAGGTGCGCTTGGGTTCAGGGGTAGTGGATATTGCCAAAACATGTTCCAAAGTGCTTGTACCAATTTACACACTCACAGCAGTACATGATGTTCCACATCCTTGTCAATGCCTAATATTATCCATCTTCTTTCATTTTAGCCATTCTAGTAGGTATGTAGGGGGTCAAAAAATAAAAATTTGTAGTTTTTAACTCATCTTCCTAATAACTAATGAAGCCAAACACATTTTACTATGGTTATTATCTATTTGAATATTCGATTTAGTGAATTATATGTTCAATTTCTTTGCCAATCATTCTATTTTCTTTTTTCTTTAAGGAGTTCTTTATATATTTTTTTTTTTTTTGGGTACACGGGCCTCTCACTGTTGTGGCCTCTCCCATTGCGGAGCACAGGCTCTGGACGCGCAGGCTCAGCGGCCATGGCTCACAGGCCCAGCCGCTCTACGGCATGTGGGATCTTCCCAGACCGGGGCACGAACCCGTGTCCCCCGCATCGGCAGGCGGACTCTCAACCACTGCGCCACCAGGGAAGCCCTCTTTATATATTCTTGATCTGAGTCCTTTATCAGATATATATGTTACAAATATCTTCTCCTAGCCTGTGGGCTGCTTTCCCACTTTATTAATGAAATTTTCTAATGACGAGTTATTTTTAATGTAGTCCAGTTCATCATTTTTTCCCTTTATGATGATAATTTCTTTGTATCCTGGTTAAGAAATTTTTGTATGCCCAAAATCGTGATGATATTCTCTTCTGTTTTCTTCTAAACTATTTTAGTGATCCCTTGTATATTCTTT